CCCTTGCCTTGTGGCAGCTTGTAAGGTTGGAGTTCTAGTGAAGGGCTATAAGAATCTCAAAAAAATCCAAAAAGAAAACAACAACAACAACAACAAAAAAACACCTTTCAAGGCAACTCGGAAAGATTTTAGGACAAAAAAATGTTTGCTTAGTCCATGCTACTGATTTTGCGGCTTGGGGAATAGAGATAGATTAGGGACCAGCCTTCAAACTGTTGTACCTCTTACCCTAACCCCAAAGATGATCCTATGAGCAGACATTAGCCATCACCTCCCCTGCACCCATCCCCAGGGGGTCTTACCACTCTTTAGATCCCAGCTGGCACCTACAGTGGGGCCAGGGTGGGCAATTCTCACTAGCTCCCAGAACTAGACTTTAGCATGCCCGTGGAAGTACAGGAACTTCCTCAGATCGAGACAGTCCTGTGCCTAGCTTGATGAGGGCATGCAGTGTCCCTAGACATAAGCTGCAGAGGCTGTGGCCCCTTAGTAAGATTTAGGAAAATGAAAATCATGATGCCACATCAGGTCTTCCCTCACCAGCAAGGCTTCTAAGATTCCTCTGTAGACACTACCTCCTGTATCAGGACCCCAGTCCTTGCAGAATGACAAAGGCCAGGAGCGCTAATACAGTTGATACGTAATGCACCAGTCTAATGTGGGATGGGGCCCTTGCACTTAGGGCAAGGGAGAAGCACAGGGGTGCAGCTTGGGCCCTAACCACCCTCCACTGAGAGGGGCAGTTGCAGAGTCAGCTGCTTACACGGACTCCTTTAATTTTCTGCTTTTGTTATGTGAACTTCTTTACATATTTCCCAATGATTCTTAATACCCTGCAGCTACTTGGGGGCCTAAGGTAGCAGGACTTCGCCCCTGTTTTGAAGGAGCAGGCCTGCGTCAGCTGAGCGGACCCAAACTCTCTCCACACTGCCTTCCCACCATGAGAAAATGCCACTTCAGAAGGGCAAGTTGAACCAGGTTCGTGCTGCATACAAACACGGGTCACAGACCTTGAGAGATAAAAGACTTGGTCCTGATGAAGGAGCGGCCTCTCTTCACAGCAGCTTTGGTCTTTTCAAGTCCATCTTTGGTACCCTCCTTGGCTGCCTTCATGAGCTTTTGCATCTGTAAAACAGAGGGGAACACATGAGAAGTGGGAAAGTTCCATATGAGGCAACTTGCTGTTATTTTAAAAGAATACTGTCAAGTAGTTTGGGCTTGAAACATTATATGAAAATGGCTTTTAAATTTGGGAGAGGCTTCTTGGTTATAGGTGTGTGTGTGTGTGTGTGTGTGTGTGTGTGTGCTACTTTTTATTTTTCTGTTTAAAAAACATAAAGTAGAGCCCTTCCTTGATATGGTACAAAATATTTCTGCTACATCTAAGTCTCTGCTTTTACTGCAATCTCTTCCTAACACAGGGAGTTTTGTTGAGGTGACAGTCAAGCACACAAACATCCAATGGCTTGCCCATAATCAATGGCAGAAGAGTTAACTGCAGGCTTATAGTTCCAATTTAGCTTTTGAACATTCTCCCTGGGGTCCTTCCTGACAGGTACAACTATGACCAGTTGTTCAAAAGGGTAAGACGGAGTAGGACTGGAGAGTGGGCCAAGGCTAGGCCAGTGAGAGGCAGAGAGCCCGTCCTTTTCCAGGGGCAAACATCAGAAGACAACATCCCACATGGGTGTCCTTTCCACTGGCCTAGGAGCCCCTTACACTCTTCACAATCATTTCCACTAGTATTCTGAGCAGCGATGGAGATGAAACCCAGTGCCTTGAGCTTGTTTATTTCACTCAGCCCTTAAAAGTCATCAAAAGTCCCAGGTTTTATTTTATTTGCCTTTTATCAATCTATGGTGACTGTATTAGAAGTTAATGTTGATAAAAACCAGCCAGAGTTATGATTTTAACCCTCAGCCTTACGCCAGAGGCCTTCAAGAGTGGCCTTGGTACACGCTGGTATCTTAATTCCTTTTCTTTAAACAGTTAATATTGAAAGTATTAGCAGTGGACATTGAAAATCCTTTTGGAGAAAACCCAAATGGTGGACAAGAAACAAGCCAGTGTCCTCTCACCCCAACCTCTCAGTGAGCTGAATCTAACTCACAGCATCCCACCATCATAGCCAACCCCACAGCCCATGCTCCCTGCCCCTGCTTTGACTACTTTACCCATGGGATTGGAGTCCTGATCGGCTGGCTTTGTGAGATTCCATACTCAAACTCCTTATTCCTCAATGCCTACACTGCCTCTCTAAAGGTACCCCACAACCACTCAACACAACTGAAGTTAAACTCTGGTCTGCACCCCCCAACCAGCAACCCCAACTCAGATTTCTATCCCTTTATAGCCATTCACCCCTGTGATATTCAAACTTGAGAGTTACTATCTTCTCCCACCCCAATTCCTGAATTCCTCTGCCCTGTACAGGACCCTATTCAGTTGGTATGTCACTCTCAGCTCACTGCTGGCACCCAAGTTTCCTTTCCAGGTCCTGCTCCTCCTAACCCCAACCATGGGCAGTTGCACCTAAGCCTCTGAGCACATCAGGACAATCAGAGGACTACAGACTGGGGGAGGAGGGGCCCTCAGGACCACAAGGTCCCTGTGAGGCAGATGGGACCTTGAATTCCAGGAGGTAAAGGGAGTTTCCCCAACTCATCCTGAATGCAGGGCTCTACTGCACATGTTCCCTACCCACATCTTTGGACCCGTCAATCACTGCCACCTGCCCATTTATAAGCTAGACTGAGCTGACCTCATGAAGCATTCTCAACCCAACTAGCAGAAAGCCCATGGCTCCCAGGACAATCCCAGAGCTTTACCTGCTATCTTGTGGACCTGGCCCCATCCTCACTGTCCTGAAGGAAACCAACCAGATACTGCCCGGACAGTGACATGGCCCCTGGGAGGGCACCTCTGCCTCCGATGGCCTGGTTGTGAATGTTGAGCAGTGGAGCCACCACCAACCCAGAGATGGCTCCAAGGGGACATGTGGTTCCAGTGAAATTTCATCCAGCACATGAAGGAATCTCACAGTATAACAGAGGGCCAGATGGAAGTGAAGGGTACTTGACAGTGTCCTTTTAAAACATATCTCCAAGAACTGTCCAAGATATTCAAACCCAGCAGTTCTCAAACGTTTGGCCTAGGAGCCCCTTACACTCTTCACAATCATTTCCACTAGTATTTTGAGCAGCCATGGAGATGAAACCCAGGGCCCTGAGCTTGTCAAACACTTTATTTCACCCAGCCCTTAAAAGCCATCAAAAGTCCTGAGTTTTGTTTATTTATCAATCTATGGTGGCTGTACTTGAAGTCAATGTTGACAAAAATTTTTGAACACTTATATCAATATTCATTTCAAAAACAATAAACCCATTACATTTTATGTGAAATAACATAATTATGAGAAATGACTATTTTCCAAAACAAAGTCTTTGCTGTTTATTGTGTTTGGAAATGTCTCGGACACCACTGGATCTCAAGCTCTATCTGCTATGATGTCACATATCACAAGCTCCTAGAAACTTCCTACACTGACTTGTGAGAGAACAAGCACATTGTCATTAACAATGGCCCTGGAAATGCCTGGGTGACCCCGGGAACCCCTGGGCCACAGGGGTTTGAGAACCACTATTCCAGCAGGGTTGTACACGGTGCCTGCCTCGTGCAGAGCGAGGTCTGCTTTGGACCACGCTCAACGCAGAGGTTAAGGAGGGAGCCACACTACCTTCCGCTCCTGCCTGTGCCTTGCTTGCTGCACCTCCACGGCTCCCACCGTGCTGGCCACCAAGCCTCTCATCTTTTCCTCACAGTGCGCCTTAAAGCGGGTTAGGTCATGAGAGAGCTGCGGCACAAAGAGACAAGCTTTTCAGAACAGGCTCTTTGGGTTCCCAGAGACTATTCTACATGAAGAATGTGGCACCTCCTGGCCAGGGCAGTGGCCAGCCCTGCTGACTTGAGGTAGACACACCTGTGAGTGACACACCCTGAAGACACAAACTGTTTCTACTGCAAGCTGCAGATGCTCCAGGGTGGGGCAGAACCAAGGAATGCCCAGATCAGAATCCTCACATGCACAAAATACACTTAAAGTTATTCTGTGTCGGCACCCAACGGGAGGACGGTGGTACTCAGTACTCAGAACTGTGCTGGAACATGGCTGCTCTGGGGTGACAGTTTCCATGCTGACATGATGCCCAGGCTGAGGGACTGGCTGGGGTCTGTTCGACCACCCTTCCTATGGCCACCACCATCTCACTGCTCCCCTCGCGGGGGCGGGGGTCATTTGTCATGTCAACCAGGACATGGATGCTTTAAACATGTTTAGTGAATATTTGACACTACTTTTGAGTTAAGATGACTCAGTTTTACTTTGGTTGCTTTTAAAATATGACATCTTAAAAACTGTGTTGAACAGGCCTACCCCAAAGGCTCTGTCCACAACACCCATCTTCCAGCTTGGTGCCTCTTCCTCATGATTACACACATGGGCCAGTTAGCACTGGTTTCCCTGGTGCTTCTCTAGCAAGAACAGACTGCTGAGCCACTGGCAGGGAGTCCAGGTCCACTGTGAGGAGGAGGAAGACAGCTCTACCAGCCATCACCTGACCTGACTCCATCTGCCCATATCCATCAAGAGGAGAGGTCCAAGTATTGAAACACACATTCCCAAGCACCCTGGATGCTCCTCCTGCTGAGCTACTTTTAAGACCTTGATTTAAGTCAGGAATGTCTTGACTTGTCATTAGCTGCCCTAGCTGCAACTGCAGCTCCATCCCTGGACAGATTCCAGTGTACTTCCAATTACAAAAAGATCTATGTTCCTGGAGAAAGCTTAGAGTAACACTGAATAGTCACAGCGACCTGCAAGCTGCCACACTCTTCCTGGGTCTGAAACAAGTTTAGAGAACACACAATTCGAACAAGTGACAATTTGTAAAACCACAGAGACATGGAAACTAGGTCAAGAGCACAGTCTTTGGCTCCTGGAGTCAAAGGGGCTGGGGGGAGAGGGGCAGGGGCAGGGGCAAGGGCAGGAAAAGCTGGCTGTAGCCAACTGTCACAATGGGAGGCTCCAGGTCTTAGACCAGTTGCTTCAGATAAGGATCACACGTGGGCTGCCTGTCAATCCCACACAGGAACTGCTCAGATACCACTGGGTTTGTATACATAAGTACCAATTGACCTTCTACACCCATCCACAGGGAACCCTACCAACAGGAATATGTGACCCAGCTAGCCACATAGAAAACCTACTACAGGATGTGCCTCAACAGTCAGTGCCAGGGCCAGGCTTGTACCTCACTGGCCAGCCCAATATTCACTCTTCAAGGCTCCCATGTTCCCTCCCTGCACCCGAACCTCAGAAGTTTTCCACCAGAAAATATGAGTTCCCTCTAGGAAAAAATAATCTGGGATTGTAGGAGCTGTGCTGTTCAGTGTTGTTTCTCAGACGTTCCTGTTTGCTCATGCCCAGCTCACAGGCAAATGGTCATGACAGGACAGCATGGGGTGGGGGGTAAGGTGGAGCTGCCTGGCCTGTCCAAGGGACCCAGCCCATTTGCTGTGTGCACAGAGAGCTGCAACTGTGCAAACTCTACATCAATTTGGTGCTTACTGATATCTTCCTTCCTTTTTAAACAATGTATCTTTTTGAGAAAGGGTTTGGCTCTGTAGCCCTAGCTGTCAGGGTACCATGTAGCCCAGACTGGCTGTCAACTCCCAGCAATTCCCCTGCCTCCGCCTTCTGAGTGCTGGGATGACATTGTAGGCCAACATGCATGGCTGCACTACTGTCTTAGAGTCCAGATGGTGAGCCTGCTTAGGGCTACAGAAGTGACTTGACAAGGGTGTACAGGCCGATCCTTCTGTAATTAGACTCTAAGGGACAATGACTCCTTCAGTGGTCCCCAAACATGAGCCCCAAACTACACATCAGTGATAGAAAAATAACCACGTAAGCATGTGAGTTAACACACGTTTCTCAGACATGTTCTCAGGTGAGTGGAAGAATACCTGTCCCCCGCACAAAGACCAAGCACTTACTTGCTTTTTGTGGCTGCCACGCAGGAAGGACCTGGGAATTCCATTCTTGCACTCTGAGTCACTTTGCTCTTCATAGCTTTCAAATTCACTAGAACTCCATCCATACTCCAATGAGCTGTTTCCACCTTCATCTCCATTTTCCACATCATCATAAATCATTTCATCTGAGTACACATGCCAAGGTGAAATTAAATTAAGTCAGATCTCACGAGCTTGCTGATCTACCATCTCATCTATAATCTGGGTGTTAGGGACAATGTAGAAGGTACTAAGGGCAGTGTCCTGCAAAAGCACTAGCTCACAGAGCCCCTCCATGTGGACTGAGACCTGGAGTCTGAAAATGATCTTCATATCATTTTGACACATCTCCCAAACCCATGCACATTCTGACTACTGGCCTACAGGAACCGTCATGATTATAACAAATAATGTGTTCACCAATACTGAGTTTCCTACAAAGGAAAATCTTTCCATAAATACACGGAGTGTAAAAGCATTAGACAGTTGATAAACAGATGACAGGCAGGCAGTTAGGGGGACGTGTAGATGATAGCTGATGGATGGATGGACCTAAGGATAAGTAGCTCTCCAAACAGCTCATAGATGAGAAAGATGCAAGCAGGACACAAGTGAGGTTCACACCAACCTGGAACTGTGTGTACCCGAGGGGCCCCTGCTCCTGGAGGTTGAATATGCCTGACGGTCACATGGCAGCGGGGGCCACTCAGCGCATGAGTAAGCAGCCGGTAAGATTTTGGATGATGGGACTGGAGAGATGGCCCAGTGGTTAAGAGCACTGGCTGCTCTTGCATAGGAGCCAGGTTCGATTCCCAGCACCTAATGGCAGTTAACAACATTCGTAACTCCAGTTTCAGGGGAATCTGAAGCCCGCTTCTGACCTCCATGGGCATTGCACGACACTGGTGCACTTACAGACATGCAGGCAATACCATCATACACATAAAATAAAAATAACAAATACAATATAAAATAAAGAATTTGGATGATTACAGATGTAATAATGTTTCCCATTTCTTGTGTAACTGATTTATATATGAAACTTTTAATTCCATTTAGGCATTTCGATTTATTGATCTGGTTACGATTTTTACATGTATGTTCTGCGGGTTCTCTCTCCCCATAATCTCTCCCTCCTTCCCTTCTCTGCTTTACTATCAGTGCCATCAGAGTCCATGTCCACCACTTGTCTTTGGGTTCTCCTGACACACATACTGCTCTGCTTTACATACACTCTGCCCTGGTCGGCACATCCTGACACCTTCTGCTCCTGTCCTGCATGGAACTGAGCTGGCTCTCACTACCTTCCAGTTTATTGAACATGTGCCATTATCACTGTAGCCTTATTGTTGTAAAAAGTCAAAATATTCTTTGGTTTTCCATCTATCTTCACCTTTGAGCATGAATTGCAAAGTAGAGTGGTTTGTAATTCACAAATATTGGTTCTTTATTTATTTTGATACTGAGGGTTGATCATAGAGCCTTGCACACACTAGGGAAGCACTCTGCCACTGAGCTATACACCAGTCCTTGTCCTATTACTATTTAATTTTAGGGTCTCAATAAGTTGCTCAGGAGTCCTTGAACACACTCTGTAGTCTGGGCTGGCCTTGAACTTGAAATCCTCCTGCCTCAGCCTCCACAGTGGCTGGGATTATATGTGAGTACCACCAGATCCAGCTGTTTTTTTTTTATTATTAATTTTATTGGACTAGTATCTAAGAACAAGATTTGAATACTAATTATTTGGCAACTGTTAATATTTTCACTGAAGCATAATACACAATTGTAAAATATTATAGGTACTTAAATATTTGGAAACCACTATCTTCAAAGCTCTGTCTCTTAAGCCTGTCATGCTGCACTTCAACATCTATTGATTCTGAAGTTGGCATCCATCGACAGTAGAGAAGCTCCAATCACACAGGTACCTGCTTCTGACCATGCCTCAGATGCAACTTGCTGTGTGTATTTGCAACCTCTTTGCTATGAGGCTACCCAGCTCAGAAAAGCCCATCACCTAGTCATTTTGACTGATGCTTGTGCTTTACCCACCGGTCTGCCAGCTGCCACACCCACCACTCTCCTGGTAACCCTGCTTCCTTCCTTCGGCTTCTGCACCCTTTCCCTGGAGTATAACACTAATTGAACCCCAACCTCTGACAGCCTTGGTAGGCGGAAAGGACTATGCTTGCCTGGAAGTCTAGGCTGCAGGGGTGCCTCAGATCATCACTTGCCTCTCCTGGTAGCCTGCCATCTTTCTCCCATAGTCCTCAGGGGCTCGTTCATTTCCTCTTGTTGCTTTAAGATGGTCACTGGAGGGCTGGAGTGATGGCTCAGTCATTATGAGCGCTTGGTACTCTTGCAGAGGACCTGGGCTTGGTTCTCAGCACTCATATGGCAGTTTACTCTACTACCAGAGGATGTAACACTCTTTTCTGGCCTCTGTGGACACCACATGCACATAGTGTACACATATACATGCAGGGAAAATATTCACGCACATCAAATAAATCTTTTTTTACAAAAAAAAAACAAGATCATCGGGGCTGGAGAGATGTCTCAGCAGTTAAAAGCACTGGCTGCTCTTGCAAGAGGATCCAGGTTCAATTCCCAGCACCCACAAGACAGCTAACAACTATCCATAACTCCAGTTCCAAGGGAATCTGATGCATTCTTCTGACCTCTGCAGGCATTGCACATCATGGGTGCACTTACATACATGCAGGTAATACACTCATACACATAAAATTAAAATAATAAATAAAATATTTTTTTTAAAGGCTCGCCATTGGGATCTGCAGTTTCATTTACACCTACCAAGTTCTAGATCAATGAATCCTGTTTTATCCTTGTATCTCTACAATATGAGAACTTATGTCTTCTTTTAAATCTAGAAAATGCACAGTGACTCCTTTGGAGGAGCCTCCCTCCTCCTGTCTCTGCCCCTCACTTCTATCTTCTCTGAGATGCATGCCCTCACTTCTTAGTGTCTGTTTCCCACCTCTTGGCTCATGGTTTCCATTCTTTCAGTCTTTGTGCATCAAGTGTTGTGAGCATGTGTACCTGGCTTCAGCCATGTCATGCAATGAATACAGAAACATGAAAACAGAAAATGTGCATGCTAGACCAGGCGGAGGGGATACACATACTCTAGTCACTTTTGCACCTAGAAGAAAAAACTATTAAACAGATCTCCTAAAAGTTGGGTCAAGATCAAACCTGGTTCAGAGTCCGAGGTTTCCCTTGGGACATCATCATAAATTGCTTCCTCTGGATCTGAAAGAAAGAAAAGATATGTTAAAAACTGACAGAGCCAATGAGTACAGTTTAAACATCCTAAGGCCAAGATCCTATGGTGCTCTAACTCTCCAAACATTGGTCTGCAGGAATGGCCGACCGTAATCTCACCAAGCAGAAGTTCTGTTCTATCTTAATGAGAGCTGTCCCTCTAAATGGACAAGACATGAGACATGACCAACGGGGAGCTCATGGTTTCCAGCCCAACGTTTTCAATAACTGCATTTAATTGCACATCTCTCCAGGGCTCTCTTTGAAACACATTTAAGCTTGCGGGGTTTGGGTGTTCTGATGTACCAAAATACAAAGGTGGCACACAGAGTCTCAGGAATAGAGAGAGCACCCATCGGGCTGCCATCAAAAGGGAAACCCCTAAACCAAACTGATGGCTGTATTGAGTTTACACCCTGGAGGTGAGAAGTCACC